TTAAGTGATTGCTATTCACAGAGTGTTTTTAGGAATCAGTTACTGGGTTGAAAACCAGGGCTAGAGTTAGAGCTGGGCTGGTAGAGTACCAGCCCAGGACAAGTGGACCTAGGTTTGATCCCCAGCAACACATAAAATAGGCATTGAGATCTACCTGTGGAACATATTTTTGATGCTAAACAGTCATTTTTAACTGAAGGTGTAACATATGCAGTCTTGGCAGGTGGAAAGAGAAGGATCAAAAGTTCAAGGTCAGCCTCGACCTCAGCTAACGAATTCAACACTAGCATGGATGATGTGAGACCCTGTCTCCAAAAAAAAAAAAAAAAATCACATTCAATCAAACAAGGAAATAAGAAAAGCCACGATGACAGGTACTATTATCATTCTCACCTCCAAATGAGAAGCACTGGCTCAGACAGTAGGGAACTCTTCTAGGGTTCAAACCCAAGCTGTTTTCATGGACTGAGTCCCACTTCTTGCCTTATCTTTGAAAGAGAAGAGAAGGCACCAATGTCTCACTGTCTGGACCTTTTCTCCAAGTCCCTATTAGGGAAGAGTAAAGAAAAACAAAAGAAGCTGCTTCTCAGAAGTGTGTTGTGTCTCTCTTGCCCCTCACTCCCCACACCTAGTGCTGGAGAAGATGAGACTTTTGTGAATGTTGGACGTGTTCCTTTCTGTGGGGAACCTTCCTGTTCTCTTACTAGTTTGGAAATTACGGAAGACATCTTTTCGATTCTGTAAAACAGAAGCAGGTCTGTCCACCTATCCCATCCATGTTGAGCTGTAACTGTGGGCAAGAAGAGGGATGAATCCAGCGTTTGGAAGCCTTGGGGATGGTCTGGACACACACACACACACACACACACACACACACACACACACACACACGTGCTTATGTGCGTAAGACATCATTAGGGAACCCACTCATGTCTCCTGGGCCCTGAGCCTGCTCTGGCCTTCTAACTGAGGACCACCTGCCTGGTTGGCCTGTGGCACTTCCTTGGCAGGGACTCTGGCTGGATTCACTGTTCTGTCCTGGACAGAGAGGTGTCTTAGTTTGTCTCTGCACCCAGATCATCCAACTCCAGAGGAGTGGTAGAAGAGGGAAGGTGAGCTGAAGGAGCCCCTAATGTGGGAGGGAGTGGGGTCTCTTCTCTTCCTTTCTGCTCAGTGCCCCCTCTCCAAGCACATTTCCAGAAAGTGGCCTCTTTGTCTTTGTTTGGCTGGAAGTTGTTCCTCCTCTTGGAGCCAAAGATTCCCTCCCCTTCAGAGTGAGAGGGAACCACACCAGGAAGAGCTCAGCCCCTGCATATGCTTTACAGTTCTGGCTACCTCTGGAGGACAGCTCTAAGGCAGGCAGGCATAAATGGTCCAGCCTTCCCTGGGTGGGGCTGGGGGCTCCAAGCCCTCCAGAGGCTGCATGAAACCCTGGAGCTGCCCTAGCTTCGCCAAGGAGACCGGAATGAGGAGGGGCCCACAGACAGGCTGTCTGATTTCAGCTTCCACTGGGAGGAAGAAACCGGAAGTAGGCTGGCAGCCTTCAAGCTGCTTCTAACTTGGGGCTCCCAGCAGGAGTTTTGTAGGGGGAGCTGGGATTTAACACCTTGCAGGCTGGGAAGCTGCCAGGCTCTGGAGGGCTGAGGCTGTGCAGGAAGGCTTCTTTTTCTGTCTCTCACACCCAGTGTAGCACGTAGCACTTCCTTAGCCTTGCAGCAGATGGGCAGATGTGGGCGAGAAAAAGAGTGAGGTGTGCGGGAAGAAAGATTGTGTGCTTCCGGTGGGGGGGACACTTCACAAACGGCTGCGTGCTCAAAGAGGAGGAAAGCTCTTGCTGCTTCCTAATGCAGAGGGAGAGGGTTAGATCAGAACGTCCCTGAGGCAGTACAATGGATCATCCAAGACCCACTACCTGAATTCGGCAGATCCACACATTCAGATCCCTGCTCGGCCCCCAAGTAGCAACAGCTGATTTTCACTGATTTTTGTGTTACCACTTCCACACACAATCTGTCTGAAGCCTCACAAACCATAGGACCTAAGTGCTGCTTTACTCACATCTGACTGAGGTTGACTGAGGTTTCGAGATGTGAAGTAACCTGTGTAAAGCTGCACAGCAAGTGAGCTTGAAGCTGAGCCTCAGAGGACAGTTAGACTTTGAAATTTCTGTCCTAACGTAATGACGCTCAGAGACTTGCAGGGTCTTCTGTTGGTCGTCTGAGCTTGGGAGCATCATGTTCTTATTCTCAGTGTTCAGCATCCAGGCAGTGGGAAGATGAATGTTCTTTCCCCCAGATTTATGATGAGTGTTATCCTTCTTTCGCTCCTTCCTTCATTTGACATACATTCCATACAGTTAGTATTAGTCTAACTGTACAAGCTAGCTAAAGTCCCAGCTCTACCAAAGTAGGTAAGGAAGTAAAGTCAAATGATTTCAACTGTGTGTGTGTGTGTGTGTGTGTGTGTGTGTGTGTGTGTGTGTGTGGTATTATAAAGAAGACAAAACATGATAAAGTTAGACTGTAGAGTGGGGGCGGACATTTCCACAGATGCTTGAGGAAGGGTCTTTGAATAAGTGGCCCCTGAGGTTAGTTATCTGAGAAAGGAAGAGGATGAACTTCCTAGGTTGAAGGAGGAGCAAGTTGAAGGCCTAGTGTTAGGAAGGCTGCTGTGGCTGGAGCAGACTGCGCAGGCAGAAGGGGATTAAGAGGCGATGTCACATGGTCAACAAGGCAAGGCTGTGAATGTTACTGTGTTGTGTGACTTTCCCTGGGGAGATGTGAAGGAATGTCTGTCCACTCTAGATAGGACACTGATGTCTAGCATGGTGAATCACTGAGTTTACCTGGGTTATTTACAGGAGGAGTTCATGTGTGGAGTTACTGATAGGAGCATGGAAGGCTCAAAGACAGCTACATCACAATAAACAAACAAACAAATTTCCTTTAGGCGACCATGCACTGCACACATTACAGACTGCTTAGCCCACCAGCGTCTCCTCTCCCCAGCAATTGTTACTACTTTTAAATCATTGGGGAGGGGCCTCGTGAACCTTGTAAGTTTCTGGAACATCCTCAGCCTTATAGGTTTCATTAACTTCTTGCATCTTACAAGCTTCTTTACTTCATTAGTCTTACCAGCCTCCTCTTCTTTCTGGAAGGAATGTTTCAATGCAGAGGAAATAACTATCTAACACATGGGAAGGTGCTCCCATAGGGTGAACTTCGGCGAGCTTAAATTGAGAGTGATACTATCTGATTTATTTATTCATTTAAGATAAATAAGGACAGGTCTGGGGTCCCTGTGGAGAATAGAATGCTGGGTGTTAAGGACATATGCAGGACAGCTTGGAGGAGGCTGGACTATCGCAGGGGTTCACAGTGGACAGCAGCAAATGACATTTTCATGGTGGAGCAGAGCAGCAGCCACACATCTCAGTGAAGAGACAGACTAGACATCTTAGGCAGTCACAAAAGCCTTGGGTCTCATGCCCTTTTCCTAAGACCATACCCATGCTTCTACTGTCATTTTGCCATGGATGAACACCCACTGATACTACCATTTTTCTTATTAGCGTTGAGATTAGCTTTTCTGAGGACTGGCTCTGGAATAGAACTACTGTATATCTAGAGTTTATGATACCTCAATTTCTGTATAGAACCAGAGTAGATCAGTTTCCCTTAGGATGGTCTAGATGGTAAATATTTTCTTTTCTTTTCTTTTCTTTTTTTGGTTTTTCGAGACAGGGTTTCTCTGTGTAGCTTTGCGCCTTTCCTGGATCTCGCTTTGTAGACCAGGCTGGCCTTGAACTCACAAAGATCCGCCTGCCTCTGCCTCCTGAGTGCTGGGATTAAAGGCGTGCGCCACCACCGCCTGGCGGTAAATATTTTCATTTGCTGAGATCCAACTGTCTCTGTGACTTCTCAACTCTGCTACTATTGGGCTGAAGAGCCAAAGACAGTATCCCAGTGGATGGGCACTGCTGTGAGCAAGAAAACTTGGTTGTTATTGTTATTTAATAATGTCTTGCTCTGTAACCTGGGCTATCCTTAAACTTACAATCTTCCTGCCTCAGCCTCCTTGGGTGTTGGGATTATAGGTGTGCATTGCCACACTCAGCCCAGTGAACCTTCATTTACAGCAACAGAGAATAGACTCCGTTTGGCTCTTTGGGTCACAATTCGCCAAGGTCAGGCAAAGAAAACCATTTATTTACATTACTCAAGTGAATTTTTTTTCCAAATAAATCACCTGAAAATGTTTACTACAAACCCTTTTACAAAAATAGGGTGTACATTGCCATGGATAAACATACAATTCAAAGAACTTCTCTGTTAGGGGTGTCTTTGGACACAGTTTATGGGACCAGTGAAGCAGGGATTGGAATGCTTCTGGCTCTTCAGCGAAGAAATTGTCTTTTATCCATGGTTTGCATTATTAGTGGACAGACCTAATAAAAGCTTGAACAGGAGGACATGGGGGTAAGAGAAAAAGCGATAACCATTAATCTAGCTCACCTCATGGAAGATCATTCGTCTTTTCTAGTGTCATGGGTTAAGGAAGCATTTATCAGTTTGTCACAGAACAAATCTCACAACTGGTCACAGAACAGATGAACACATCCATTGTCTAAGCGGGTGGGAAGGAGGGAGAAGAAGTGATGCTGGAGAGTCCCAGCCTTCTGCAGGAGGCAGCAGGAGAGGGAATGAAGTCACAGAGAGGCAGATGACGTATGTCGTGGACTTTACATCAGGCACTGGTCTCTCGGGAACAAGACTGGAAAACTGAGATGGCCCCACTCTGTCCCACATGACTGGGCAGAATAAAGGAACTAAGTTATGCAAATTCCCTAGATTAAGAATTATTTACACCCTTCTTCCTTTTCCGCTTTCATTTGGTTCTTGGGGATGTGACTCAAGCAAAAGGCCCTGTCAGAATTTCTCCCGTATCTCTTCTCTTGACCCTGTTGTCCGTGTCTCCATCTTTTCTTCTCTTCTCAGGGTGTGGCCAGGTTTTTCGAGCCTCAAAGGGTCAGATTCTTCTGGAGAGCTACCCCTTAAATGCGCACTGTGAGTGGACCATTCACGCCAGACCTGGGTTTATCATCCAGCTGAGGTAGGAGTAAGAGCCTACAAGGAAACAGAGATGGGATGGAGGGTCCTGTGTCTGGGTGACCAGGGATGAAACATTGACACTGTTCTTCCCTCCAGCATAGTCTCACCTCCTTGAAGCGCGGCTCCTCTTCCTTTCCAGCAGGATGGAATGATTCCATCACTCACAGGATTTCCGGGGCTATTGTTCTTCTCTAACTAGCGGTGAGGGGGAGGTGATTAAAACCCCTGGTTCTCTGGGTTACAAGCTTTCAGTAAGTATTTTCTGAGTGAACCAATTCATGCCAATGTTGCCATGTGCCATCTAGTTCCTTAAATGGCTTCCTGCCCTTCAAAAGGGGTAACATGTCGCCAAAACTGACAGGGAGAAGCAAACTAGACCCCTTCCTAAATCCTGCTGTGCCAAACCAGACTTGATATCTGGTGCCCCCACAACCTGAGGACCTGAGCTTGGGAACGAGACTCGATGGTTGGATTTTCTGATCCAAGGAGCCAGTGAAGGGCCATCGTCTTCCTGCTTAATGGACTCTGGGCTGCATCTGTGGTGTTAAATATTACAAGTTAATATTTCAGCAGTTCAGGGACCAAGACAAATGGTTTTTTTCTGAGTCTCTGAGAGTGTCTCCAAGACTCAGGGCACAAAAATAAACCTCTCCTAAAATAAAATGGAAGAAAGATGTCAGCTATTCAAGAGTCCCAGAGAAGCACAGAAACACGGGATTTCATTCCACTTATTTAAACGGGCTTCCTGGCCAGGGACAGCTAAAATGGTGGGAACATTTGGAGGCACATGTAGAATGTGTTCCCCAAAGCTCAGTGGTCATCCCCAGTGCTCCTTTTGCAGCACTAACCACATCCATGCTGTTATGCAAATCTGTCTCCCCGCCTGTAAAATAATCTCAAAGCTGTCCACATCCCTTTTTACCCCCTGTCACAAGTTTAGTGCAAGGATCACCCATCCTCCCCGAGAGAGGTCCTGGATCTGGTCGCGTCTCTCTGCTTCCGCTTTGACCAATGCTACCATTTCCTCCCTTTAGACTGATCTTTGTGCAGTGGAAATCCAACCATCAGCCCATTGTTGAAGCCTGCCAATGGCTGCCCACTGGACTTCTAATGAAATCAGAACTCCCCAGAATGCAGGATGAAACTCTGGCTCTCCTTGTTGGCCTTAGCTCTCATGTCCTCCTTCACTCACAGCCTAGCTCTCACTGACCCTCCCTTTATTCACAGCCTTGCAGTAACTTTGACTTTCTTTCAGGTCCTCATACATGCCACACTCATTACAGTCACTAGGACTTCTGCACTTATACATTCTCCTCCCTAGACCGCTCTTACCTATGACCTTCCCAAGTCTGACTCCACTGCATTACTTAAATCTTGGCTCAAATATCAGGCTTTTGGAGATGTCTTAGTAACCTGACAGCAGCCTTTTTCCCTCCATCTTTTCCCCCCTACTCTTATATGGTTTATTCTGCACTTGTCCCGAGTCCCATTCTTTATTTTCTGTTTTCTATATTAAAGTTTATCTCCATGAAGTCATCTGATCTTGAGTTCACCCCCAGGGTCTCAGGACAGATCTGGGCCCACCTGCTCCTTCTGTCACTCTTCCCCCATGCAGGTTTGGCATGCTGAGCCTGGAGTTTGACTACATGTGCCAGTATGACTACGTTGAGGTTCGAGATGGGGATAACAGTGACAGCCCCATCATCAAGCGTTTCTGTGGCAACGAGCGGCCAGCTCCCATCAGGAGCACGGGTTCTTCCCTCCATGTCCTTTTCCGCTCCGATGGCTCCAAGAACTTCGATGGATTCCATGCTGTCTTTGAGGAGATCACAGGTAAAAGGCACAGTGACAAATGTTGCAGTGGAGGATTTGCTCCGTAAAAGCACCTTTCTAGGTCTCCTTGTTCATCTTTATTCAAAGTTAGGATGCCCAGATCTCAGAAGCAGCCTACGTAATGAGGAAAAAAATAAGAGGAAAGATGAGGACTTTCCTTTTCTCCCTTCAGCAAAGCTCATCCAAAACTGGAACAAGGAATTATGCCTTCCTCATCCAGAGGAGGTGGCTGGTTCCCACGTGGGCTGTGTTGTATATTGAGGGTCACACAGGTATGAGGGTGGAGCCTAGGGTTTGTATTAAAGCTTTTGACTCCAGCAATCATGTGAAGAGGCCACTCATGGCTAAGAGTGCTGACTTTATGAGTGCTGGCTTTGTGACCAAGTTATGTGACTTTGGGAAAATTCTTCTGCCTTTCTGGGCCTCAATTTTCTAAGAAATAATAAAAGGAAGAAAGGATGGGCTGATCCTTAAAGACACTCTGGAAAAAGAAGCTTCCACAGTCTAAGCAGTCATGACCGCCTCAGCCAGGAGTCTGCAAACAGGCATTACAAGTCTTAAGTACAAGCCCATGCTCCACTAAAAACTCCCACTTGTGTTCAGGCAAGTGACCCCAGTTAAACTCAGTGGGTCACAAAAATAAACAAACAAAACCAAGAAAGACAGGAAAGCAGGAAGGGGCTTAGCAGGAGGAGGAAGGGGCGTGAAAGGCTGAGAGCAGATGTAAAAGTGATCAAAATGCACAATATGCATGTATGGAACTGTCGAAAAGTTAGAATTAAAAAATATTTATTTTATGTGTATGTGTGTTTGGTCTGCATGTAAGTCTGTGTACAGTGTGCATGCCTGGTGCCCACCGAGGCCATCAGATCACCTGGGACTGGAGTTACAGACAGCTGTGAACTGTCATGTGGGGTCTGGAACTTGAACCTGGGTTCTCTAGAAGAGCAGCCAGTGCTCTTAACCTCCAAGTCATCTTTGCAGGCCCAGAAATATATTTTTTAAACTCTTAAACTTAAATGCCATTTACTTGATTACTCCAAGGTCAACTTCAATCCTGCCCTATCTGGTCATATCTGGAGGTAGGCTTGACCATCTGGACAAAACATTGAATTCTAAGGAGTCACTTCAGCTCTCTTTATTGTGAGTCTGGATTTCTCATGCTTTACACAACAAGCTTCTGCTTGAAGGTCAGTTTCGAAAGCCACTGTGTAAGTAATGAAGAAAGAACAAGCATGCAGTGGCGATCTGGTTATCAGAAGGCCGTGGGGGGGAGGGCTAAGGTGAGTCTCAGGGAAGGAGGAGATAAGAGGTCCCCGAATCAGGCTTCTTCAGCCACGCCCTTTGTTCGAGACCAGCATCCTGACTACCGAGTCTTCCCCTCTTTGAAGATGGAACTCACAGCACCTCTCTGTAGTTGTTCCTTATTGTCCAAGGGTCTGGCTCCTTCTCATGCTGCGCCCTATGTACGGTGCTGTGCAGGGAAAGATGCAGTGTTGCTGGAGTGGAGTGTGGTCAGTCTGTGGCTAGCCCCTCCTTCCGCAACGGCACTCTGCAGAGGAGACTGAGGAGATGCAGTGAGAAGCATCGGTGGATGTTTTGAACCTGCAGCCGGAGCTGGCTGGCAAGGTGGCCAGGGTGGCCAGTGGCAGGCCATTAGCTTGTGGCCCTGTGACTAAAGAAGCATCTTCCTCCTCTGAGGAGCGCTGGTGAGCAGCAGGCGGCACCACTTCTCGTCCCTCAAACACTCCCTCCCAGCTGTCAGCTTGCCTGTGAGTTATTCCCTCTGGCTAAGGTCACTTGTCCCAAACTTGTACTTTGAAATCTGTCCTGCAGGCCTTTCCCACATCCTCTCTTCTCTGCTACCTTTCTCTTTCTCCATTGAGTTATGACTTTACCCTGTAGCACTTCTTTTGTCCACCGTAAATGACCTACATTGTGCTTCAGGCTGTAGTCATTGTGTATTCTCCTTTACATAGCCTAGATCCGGTAAATAGGAAGTCCTGTGTGCCTCTGTCTCTCCTCACTACTATTTCACTGAACTGAGCCCAGGGATAGAGTTCTACATAAGCATACACGGATTTAGGAATGAGGGCTAACACATACACTAATGTTTTCCATTGGCCTTTGCAGGAAAAAAAAAAAAAGCCCCTTAGATGCTCAGGAAGCCACAGGTTCTGAGTTTCAGTAAGATTTGAAAAGACTGAATACTATGTGTTTTCTTGGAACTTCACGAGTATATTAGGCCACTGAACTGAGAAGTTCTGCAGCAAAGAGATCTGACCTATTACCTGTTGAGTGGCACTTCTTGGGGAGTCTAAAAAGCACCCCATCTAATCCTGGTTTAATGAAGCAGTGGTTTATTAGGGGTTCTTGCAGGAACCTGGGTGAGGGGTTCCTTACAGGAACTGTGCCACTCAGGAAGCATATCTCAGCACGGTGATGACTCCTGAAGGCCGGATCTCGGGAGCTGCCTGTGCAATTTACAGGCAGTTGCACTACGGAATAGTCTCCTTTTCCCCAGCATTTGCTCGCTGATTGTATGACCTCGAGGAGGAACCTGCCGAGTCCCTGTGGGAGAGATACTGCATGATGCTGCTTTCATTGGTGCAATGCCCCTGTGTGTTTGCCTTCTGTATGTGGGTGTTGTTGGTTATTTTTACTCTTTACTCTTTGGCTCTTTGGGAGCCCGCCACCAGGCTCCCAAATAAATCCACACGGAGACTTATTCTTCCTTATAAATGCCTGGCCTTAGCTTGGCTTATTTCTAGTCAGTGTTCCTTAACTTAAATTATCCCATCTACCTTTTGCCTTTGGGTTTTTTCCTTTTCTTACTTCTGTGTATTTTACTTTCACTCTTACTCCATGGTTGGCTATGTGACTGTGTGGCTGGCCCTTAGCATCCTCCTCTCCGAGTTCTTTTGCTCCTCGATCTTGCTTCTCTCTTTTTTTCCTTCTGTTTATTCTCTCTGCCTGCCAGTCTCACCAATCCTTTCTCCTGCCTTGCTATTGGCCATTCAGCTCTTTATTAGACCAATCAGATGTTTTAGACAGGCACAGTAACACAGCTTCACAGAGTTAAACACATGCAACATAAAAGAATGCAATACATCTTTGCATCATTTAAACAAATGTTCCACAGTATAAGCAAAGGTAACACATCTTAAAATAATATTCCACAACATGTGGGTACCTTGAACACACTGTTAGGTGCTTCAGACATGTTAAGCAGCATCTGCACCATTTGACACTTAATGTCATTGTGCTTTCTGCATTCTCAAATTACAGCATCATGAATTCAGTAAAATGAACAATAACATTGTAAGAAGTTGGGGCAAACACATTGGCTCAGATTACAGGTTTGAGAGTGGTGGTATTGTGTTCCCCAAAATATTGTGCACGCTGATAAACTTATCTGGGGTCAGAGAACAGAACAGCCACAATATTAAACATAGAGGTTAGGCAGTGGCAGCACACGCCTTTAATCCTAGCATTCCAGAGGTAGAGATCTACCTGGATCTCTGTGTGTTCAAGGATACAGCCAAGCATGGTGACTCACACCTTTAATCCCAGGAAATGATGGCAGGAAGCAGAAAGGTATATAAGGCGTGAGGACCAGGAACTAGAGCTGGTTAAGCTTTTCGGCTTTTAGCAGCAGTTCAGCTGAGATTCATTCTGGATGAGGACTCAGAGACTTCCAGTCTGAGGAAACAGGATCAGGAATTGGCAAGGTGAGGTGGCTGTGGCTTTTTCTGCTTCTCTGATCTCCCAGCGTTCACCATTTGGTTTTATTAATAAGAACTTTTAAGATCCTGCTATACTTGGGGAGGTGGATTCACTGTTGGTAGTGACATTGACAGATGCCTTTCTCTTTCAGCGTGTTCCTCATCCCCTTGTTTCCACGATGGCACATGCCTCCTTGATGCAACTGGGTCTTACAAGTGTGCCTGCCTGGCTGGCTACACTGGGCAGCGCTGTGAAAACCGTGAGTATGCCTCCTGGTGCGTTTTAAGATGTTAGTGGGGGCATCCATAGGGACTTGGAGGCTTACAGTGCTCTGGTTTCTTGGTGTCTCCAGTGGTCTGTCTGAGATGGCAATCATAGGGGCCTCTGAGTCATAGTTGTTGCCATCGTTAGTGTCATCATAGTGTGTGTGTGTGTGTGTGTGTGTGTGTGTGTGTGTGTGTGTGTGTGCCTGTGGAGGCCAGAATTTGATGTTGGGCGTTTTCGTCTATCGCTCTCCCCCTTATTTTTCTCCATTGGACTTGGGACTCATTGACTGGCTAGCCTATCCAGACAGCAAGGCCATCTTCCTGTTTGCTTCTCACGGTGCTGAGACTGCAGGTGTGTACTGTCATAATGACTTTTAAATAAATGGATGCTAGGACTCTAGTCTTAGACCGTCATGCCTTCACAGCAAGCATTTTACCCAGAGTCATCTCCACAGTCCCCTAAGCCACATTCTCTTTTCCTTCTTTCTCTCTCTTTCTATGCCTCTTTCTTGGTTTGGGTGCTAGGGACTGAACCCAGGGTTTCATTCATGCTAAACACAAGTCTTTCCACTGAGCTACGACTTTCTTCCTTGTGTCATGGATTGACTCTATTGTTAAATCGCTTGCTCTTTGGTTCTTATGGACAGTCAAAAGCAGAGCAATAGCAGCCTTGAGGAACCTGGGGCCCTTAAAAAAGGAAACCAGGAGAAACTCAAACAAATGACCCACACCAAAGCAGCAGAAATTTCTAAATTATGTCCTTGAAAAGGCAGGACATGATTCTCTTCTGATACTAGATTTGAGCTTTTGCCAGAGAGAGAAATTTGAACCCACTGAGTTTAAGCATACATATAACAGGGCATATCCTTTGACCTTGGGAAGTATGTGTCCCACGACACCACAGCTTCCCAGCTCTGCTGTGTGGTGCTGAGGACCATGCCATTGGCAAAGAGGAACTTCACCATCATGACCAGAAATCATTTATTACGGTGTCTAGTAACCAAGATTCTATGTATAATGCGTGTCCTAGCAGACATTTGAGACCTAAAATTTGTGCCACTTTCTCCAGCTATTGCTCGGCAATGAAGTGTGCAGAATGAGATGTGCAGAGCAAGAATGAAGGTTTGAAGACAAGTGGAGGAAGAGAATGTCCTGAGCAGGGCTCCTCAAAATAGATCCGGAGATGGGGTGTGTGGAAGTAAGGCTGTAAGGACAAGCTCCCCAGAGGTGCTCTTAGGGCTTGGGAGAACTGACCTAGAAATGGAAAGAAGTCAAGCAAAAAGCAATTTCAAGAAAAATCCTGGGCCCACTGCTTGGCGATAGTGAAATACCGAATGCTAGCGAAGTGCACGCAGGGGTACTGGGTTCTTCTATCCACACAGCAGCTGGTCACTAGCCAAGGCTGCCCTGGGGGAGAAGGCAAATGTGAACTCAGGCACGCTGTCGTAGTTAGCTTAACTGTCAACTTGACACCACCGAGAGTCACCTGAGAAGGGCGTCTCGGTTGAGGGATTGCCCAGGTCAGACAGGCCTATGAGCTGCCTGTCGGGGATTGGCACTTTTGTTAATTGATTATAGCAGGACCCAGCGTGGCACCATTCCCTGGGCCTGTGCTCCTGGGCTGCAGAAGAAGGCTAGCTAAGCAGGAGCCTGCAAACGAGCCAGCCAGTAGCCGTCCTCCATAATTTCTGACGCACTTCCTGGGCTAGGAGTGCGTTCCCCGCTGGGAGGCAATGCTGTGTGGAACAGCAAGCCTCCCTGCCTTCAGGTTCCTGATTTGAGTTCCTGTCTTGACTTTCCTCAATGGTGCACTGTGACCCGGAGGTGTAAGAGAGATAAACCCTTTCCTCCCTAAGTTATTTTTGGTCAGAGTGTTTTATCTCGGCAACAGAAAGGACACTAGAACATATGCCTAGCTTCCTGAGCACATGCTCAGTGTGGTTCCAGGAACCGAGGATCAGTTTCCTGAAATCATACCAGCCACAGGATTCAGTGGGGGAGGAAAAGGAGAGCATAGGAACAGGAGGAATGACTTCAAGGGCAGAGCACCAATCGTGTCTTCTCCGGTCATTCCGGACTAGCACACACACGTTCTGTGCTCCTCTGCTGTCTGAGAGTCGTCTGGGAAGTTGATGTGTTTTTCAGGCACATGTTTCCTAGCATTCCTTACGAACTGTGCATTTCAACAGCGGGTCTCTGAGGATGCCACTGTGCTCTGCTAAAATCTGGTTCGGCACAGTGGCCGGAGTGTGTAGGAGGCTTAGAAAATGATGCTGAGATTCATGGACCCTCCCTGATTTGAGGCTTCTGTGTTATGTGTAAGGCAGATGAGAGCAATGTTGTTTCAAGGATTTGTATGTGTTGTCTAGAGTCTGAGCAACAGCAAGCTCTGAGATTCAGAAGGGAAATGAAGGGAAGGCAGGCTTCATTTCTGGATGACTAGCCACAGTTCTGATAAACAGAGGTAACACTGGATGAAAGTAAAACATGACCACATAAGCCAGACACCTTCAAGAACGGTTTCAGATCAGGAGAGAAAAGTAGATTGCTCCAGACGTTATGACTAAACTATGTATGGGTGGCGTGCAAGTCCAAAGTGGATTTTTCTGTAAAGTTATTCTATCAAAAGAAAAACAAGCATCATGAAGAAAGAGTGTAGCATAAGGCACATGGATTGTAGCTTGATTCATAAACTGTCTCAAATCATTTTAAATACCAGGCAAGGTTGGGATGTGGCCTTGTGATGGTGTGTTTGCATAGCATGTATCCTCAGCACTGCAAACAACAACAACCAAAAAAAGCCACAGACAAATGAAAACAAGCAAACAAACAACCATCATGACCCCCTAGGGAGATGGTCAAGGGAATTAGTTCTCCGTGTTCAGCTTTCAATATACAGCTCAGAAAATGTAAGCCCTGGTACTGCATACTTGCAGATGGGTGAAGAGTTGGACATGGGCATGTCGTCCGTCATTTGCTGACAGCAGTCCAGGAAATTATATTTTTATTTATTTTTTTTTTTTGTAAGATCTAGCTCTGCTTTTCCTGATAAGAAGTTCAGGGTGAATTCTAACTCACTCACTTGGTGAGACATCACAAAAATCCAGTCATGTAGTTTACCTGGTTATTTCTGAACAGATCTTAGCCATTGTTCATGGCAGTCTATCCATGAGGAGAGTAAAACTGAGCAGGTGTGTGTGTGTGTGTGTGTGTGTGTGTGTGTGTGTGTGTGTGTGTGTGTGTGCTCACGCGCACATGCACTTTTGTTTTTCTTCCGAGGATATCAATGGGCTAGAGCAATATCCCCAGAAGGAATTCTTTCAAAATTAGCAAGAAATGTAGGCAAGCATTTGGAGAATCTCCAAACTCCAAAATACCCAAATTGGACCTGGCACTTGTTTTAAAAGCAGCTTCAAGAGCACCAAAGCCAGCATGAATGAGAGTCCTGTCCTTTATGGATGCGCCTTTAAATCTGGTCCGCAGCAAATTCAGAGCTAGGAGATTCGCACATTCCTCGTAGTTTATGATATCTCAGATGCAGATCTTACCATGTAGTGTGATGAGAGTCCAGGTGACTGACGACCTCTGCTCAACATTGAGTCCTTCCCCCCAGGTAAGGCTCATCTGCCACTCTGTTCCAAACAGTCCTTGGCATTAAATTTTCTTCTCATTTCTCATGCCTGCGAATGGGAGTGGAAAAGGAATAGATTTTTCCACTTAATTCCTGAAGAAACGTACCTTTAAAAAAGTCAAATAGGGGTTTGAGAGGTCACTCCATGGGTAAAATGTTTGCCACACAAGTGTGAGGACCTTAGGCCAAACCTCCAGAACTCACATAGAGCCAGATGTATTACTGTGCACATCTGTAATCTCCATGCTCCTAAGGGAAAACGGAAGGCAGAGACAGAAGATTTCGGAAAGCTGGTGCATGCGGTGTGTGGGCAGGGGTGGAAGGCAAGAACCAGCACTGGAGGTTGTCCTCTGCCTTCCATATATGCACCGTGGATTGTGCATATGCACAGCATTAACACACACAAATGTACATACACACATACGTGCATATCACACATGATTATTTTTATTGAGCAATATCAGGTATATAAAATAAAAATGAAATATTATTTTTCTTGACCCATTTTTGTTCTCAGAGGAACCACTTTGAGGAATGCTAGGTCTATGTTTCTCAGATTTTTTCTAAGTTAGTTATCTAAATCATACTTTAAACCAGTGATTCTCAGCTCTGCCTTCCATATCCACACATACATGGCATTTGGAAATATTGGAAGATGATTTGGGTGAAAACTGGGTGGTGATGCATCCTGTGGACTGAGGGATGCTGCCGAGCATCCTTCAAGACACAGGACAGGCTCTGCTGCTGTTATCCAGCCTCAGTGTCAGCAGTGACAAGGTGGGGAGACTCTATTTTAAACAAAAGTAGATGAAAGCATGCTTACAAATTTTCAATGTATTGTCAATGTCCACGGCATAGACTTTTTCCCAGACAAAATGATTGTTGACTATTCTATGGTGAATGTGAAAATATGCGTTCATCTAATTCCTTAAGATGGACTTGTTACTGTTCTAAATATTTTGTTATTATGAAGAGAGCAGCAATCAGATCCTTACATTATTTTGTTGTTCACATGGAAACTGAATTCCCAGATGCTGTACTATTCATTCAGAGGGCACACATGATTATATTTTTGAGAGCCATTGCTGAAAGGGCACGGGAAGATTTGCTTTTAAGCAATCTGATACCATCTAGGGTTGCAGGAATGGGTTCCTTTTCTCTGCTGATTAAAGAATTAAAAATGCAGGAAAAGTTGGAAAGTCACCAAAGTCAATGTTTATTCAAAGAGGACAATTTTACTAGAGTTTAAAAGAAAAAAAAATCCCCGGTCAGATGAGCTGTAAATCTCAGCAGCTGTACAGAGGAGAAGAATGGAGGAGAGAAGGGGAAAAAAGCCATCCCATTTGAGTTAAGGCAGTGTGG